GCTGGCCTCTCAAGGTCAGTCTACCTTCAGATTAACACTCAGTTAAGGACCACGCAACTTCCGATGAACCCAGCAGGAAGTGTTTTAGGTTTACAGCAGAACACTTGGTGGATATTTAAGATTTCAGGCTTGGTCTTTGCAAGAGTCTACCTAGAGCTGTTTTTCAGTTTGTCAGGAAAGGTTTCACCATTGAAAACAGTCTTGTTATCACTCTGCCTCCTTCATTATCAACCCACAGCTGCCTGAGAACTCAACCCATCGCTATTTTCAGAAAACGGGGCTCACAGCTTCTCTCCACTGATGTCTTTTCTACAAAGCTTGAGATGTTTCCCAACAAAAGGGCCTCCATTCTTTCCTTTCCCACCTGAAGTTATTCTTCTACTGTAGCTGTCTTGTAACCTCGCTACTGTTCCTGGCCTGAATCACAGCTCTGGACTACCAATCTAATAGAGTTTAGTCAATGGTCCGGTTTGTATCAAAACAGCCCCAACGAACAGTTAACAAGTCTCCATGTACATCTGAAAGAATAAAAGCTGTAAAATCTTATTTCATAACATTAGGATCCTTGACTCATTCCTACTTAAGCTACTTTAAAAATTTTATTTATTTAAAAAGCAGAGTGAGAGAGACAGAAAAAGAGGGAGAGTTGGAGAAATCTTCAGTCTGGCAGATCATTCTGCAAAGGGTTGCAATGGCTGAGGATGGGCCAGACTAAAACCAGGAGCCTGGAATTTCATTAGGGTCTCCTAAGTGGATGGCTAGTAGCCACAACTCATTCTTTTCATGATAACATACTGTTTTCTGTCCCATTCTTGACAATGGTAAGAATGATAACAATAACAATTACTAGTTTTATTTAGTATTTATTTAGGATGGTCTTTTAAAAAAGAATGTATTAATCTTTACAAATTTATTATTGTTATTTTTTAATGTGAAAGGCAGAGAGACATAAAGCCAGAGCTAGGGAGAGAGATCTGCCATCCATAGCTGTACTCCGCACATGTCTGCAACAGCTGGGACTGGGCCAGGCTAAAGCCATGAGTCAGGAACTCAATGTGGGTCTCCCAGCTTGGTGGCCCCAAACACTTGACCCATCACCTGCAGACTGTCAGATGTGCATCAACAGGAAGCTGGAATCAGGAATCAGGCTGGGGCTGGGGTTGGGTTGGGACTTGAAGCCAGGCACTCTGATCGGGCATGCACGAATCCCAAGCAGCATCTTAATTGCCACATCAAATGCCCAGCCCAGGATGCTCTTTTTGGCCAGTTAAAATAGCTGAACTCATCTCACGCTGAACTCATCTCACGCTGTGTTATTTGCTTCTGTGACTATACTTGTTTAGAAAAGTAGAATGATACAAAGATAAAGACACCAGCCATTGAATATGCCCATTAAGGGGTCATAGGAAAGACACATCCTTTTGCTGCGTGCTTCCTGGTTGATATCAAACCAAGGACCAGAAGCATGAGCATGTGCCCTGGAGGTTGCTTGCATGCTGATGTCCAAAGTCTCCAGAGCAGTGTTGTCCAACATTCTGAGATGATGGACATGTTCTATATGCAGGAACTTCAAGAAGTTCATGGAGATGTGGAACTTAATGATACGTTAATTTGGGTGCAAATGAATTTTGAGATTCATGCAGTTTTTTTCACACCCTGCCTTCTGAAGATCCCTGTATATGCACTGAACAATATGCTGTGGCCATTGTACTCTTGCGATGTGGCTGGAAGATAGCAAAACTGAAGTGATGGGCGCATACACGTTAAATAATTCACATTAAACAGTTGTACCTGACTAATGGCTACTGTAGTAAACGTTTAATTGGATCCTGAAGCCTTTCCTGTTATCTCAAGGTGCTGCTCCCTCCTGAAAGACCTGAGTTCCACTGTTCTCCAAACTCTACCTTATCAAAGTACCCAAGAGAAAAACACACCAGTTCCTAGACAGGAACACACTTTTCTTCGTTACTGCAGCAACAGAGCATAGCCACTGGCTTCTGAGAGAACACGGGGTGGGATCTTCCACCACCACCACGGGTCACTGAAGCTAGAACAGAGTCCTCAGGGGCTGGTGTGAACAAACTCCAGGCAGCGAAGCCACAAGCAAAGGGCCAAAAATAGACTCACAACGTGGCTTGGAAGACTATGTTGAAAAACAAAATCATGGGACTAAAACAAGTAGGCGTCTTAAGCAACCATTACTACCAGCCCAAAAAACCCTGAATTAATTGCTGACTTAAAAGGAAAAAAAAAAAAGGCAAGAAAACAGCCACATGGGAAAATAGCTAAGGAATGTAAGCCATCTCCTAGATGCTGTGGGTGCACCTGCCTGCCTGTGGTCTCCTTTGCACCCTTCTTGGTAGCCCTAGGCCCCTCCACTTGGCAGACACACCTCCCTTGTTAAATTCAATTACTCCCATTTGTTTATCTATCTAATGGGGATGGGGGAGCAGCCCGCAGCTCTTAGAGGAGAGGTTTCCTTTTCTTGGGATGCTGAATGCGAATGTGGGTGACACAGCAGCTCTGGGTCTGAGGGAGGTGCTGCCGCTCTGAACCCATTAGCGTCTGCCTTGCCCCTAACCACCCACAGCTGTCTCTTTTCTCCCAGCTGTGCCCCTCAGGCCTCTGCCCTCATCCCCACCCTTTTTTGAAGAGGAAAAAGAAGAAAGGACCACCCTGAACAGAAAGCTCTTTCTGTCTTCTGCTTAAAGCCTGGTGTGAGTTGTCTAAGCAGAAGACACATGGGAAATTGGGTTTTTTTTCAGCCATCGGAGGATAGAGAGCAGGGCTCTGAAAAAAATATTATGATTTTGTTTCCCCGAGGCAGGTTTCAAGTGCCATTTTTTTTTTTTCAAACTTCAGGGATTCTTCTGGAAGAGGAAAACAATGACTTTCTTTCTCAGTATTTTAAGGGAGGAACTATATTAGTCTAGTGGCTCATGATGGCCCGAATTTCTTCTGTTCCCCTCCATTTAGCCAGAGGTTGAAACTCTGCCTGCTTGCTGAGCTCTGAAAAGCCCTCCCAACCTGCAGGCTGCACTGAATCAATTGGAATGAGGGCAAAGCTGGGACTTGCCAACCAGCAGCAAGGGTGAACTGATTGGGCATTCAGGTATACACAAGGGAGTTGAGGGGGTTCAGAGTGGAGGTCAGGGTATGGGGAGGTCAATTTAGCTCTCCCAGAACTGTCATCTGTTGACTGGTGGCCTTGTAGCCCGAGTAGGGCTGGCTCCAGATGCCCTGGACTAGATTTTCTGTTTAGCAGAGTGCCAAGAGAGGCAGCCAGAGTCAGTAGGAAGAATTTGAAGGTGTGGAGTGATTCAGACTCAGCAACTCCTTCACTATGTGGTGGTGCCTTATCCATAGCTCTTCAATCCCAGTGCATCTGCAAGCTGTGCCTTATCCACACAAACCCACTCAGTAGACACAACACCCACACAGGCACACACTACAGCCCTTCTTTACGTTCAGACAGAAGATGAAGATGGGGAAAATTGCCAATTAATTGGCCCCGGTCTCAAAAGAGAGGAAATGAAATAAAAAAAAAAATCCAGGCTGGGTCATAAAAATCAGTATTTTTTCCAACATGCAGGAGACTCATTATATTAATTAAACATGATTGCGGGGAAGGAGGCGGTGATGGTGATGGAGGCTGGGCTGGGGTAAGTGTTCTCTCCCGTTGCCTAAGGTCGTGGTGATCTTCAGATACTAATCTCTCTGAGCACTCAAACGCTGAAGAGATAAACACTTGAAATATGAAAATGTTTTTCTTCAGAGCAGAAGCTGTGACCCTCTGGGAAAGCAAGTGTGGCCCATGTCAGCAGATCAGCACCAAGTGTACTTCTAGCATGTGTCCCACTGCCAGGCCCCGGGGACAGGGCACTGGCCAGTCCCTGGAGTGAGAGGTAGCGAGAGCTCCGTGCAATCCTGCAGAAGAGAGCCCCTTCCCTTCCAGTTATGTCCTAGCTTCTCACCATTGTCCACTGGCAACTAGAGTTTACTGAATTTCCAAAAGTAACCTCCTTTCCCTCAGACACCTGTAGGGAGTCTCTGATCTATGGCAGAAATATAGGAAAATTGCGGTTGAGGAGTGGTGTGCTGGAGCTAGCGCCAACCAACCCATGAGAGTCACACATGAGCGTTTCTGGAGTTCGGCAAGCCAGTTGTTAAAGGCAATCATGATTAAAAATTAAATTATATAAAGTTATAACTGACAGGTGATAGGAAAAGTTAAATAATCAAAGCCCAACACTTCCTCATTACATTTTACCATCATCTATGCTTCCGTGGTTATTTATGCTGTCTCTAGCAAAGCAATGGAAAAACTTAAATAATACCTTATTACTGACCTTCTCTCCTGCCTCTCCAGTGACGTGTGCTGATAGCTTACACTGAACTTGGTAAGTGTGCTTACATCATTGAGAGTGGGAGGCGTCATAGAACCGCTTTTTTTTTTTTTTAATTCTTGGAAAGCCTGCCGCTAAACATTTACCAGAATGCCATTATTACAGCATATGACAGTAGAGATTATCAATATGCCTTGCTTCTGCCTTATTAGATGGGCAGAAGGTAATCTCTTGGTATCATCAGTACCAGGGAAGGATTCTGGTGGCTCCAGGGGTACCTACACAGGTTCAAATGCAATGCTTTGAGAAGCAGCAGTCAACTCCAAACTGACAAGAGGCTCTATGAGCGCAGCAAATCAATCGACTCATCCCATCTCCCAACACCTGCCAATTGCTCCTTCTTTCTTTGGCCTTGGCCCCATCAGTCCTTCCCAGCGGTTAGGCTGTGCTGTAATCACAAGAGAAGGCTGGGAACCACCAACCTGTGGTTCTGTGAGGTGACGTCTTGAGCAAAGATCGTGGTGGTTTGTGGGCACAGAGCACAGGGTTGCCCTGCGGTGGGGAAGTGATGAAGCTTGCAAGGCCATCTGGGGCTGAAAAGTGCACAGCAAGCAAGCCTTGAGCCTTCCCCCTCAGAGCTGGCAGCTGGCTTACCTGGAAATGTGCGGTCATGGGGGTTGGAGTTGCTGGTCCAGGTGCTCCTGAGCCACTTGGCATGGTCATACATCCAACCGCAGGGCTCTTCCGGGAAATCAAAGTTGCAATTGAATCCTGAAGGGAGTTGCAGATCTTTGTCTAAAAGAGGGGAAAGGGAAAAAAAAATAACCCAAAAGGAGGGCAAATGAAATGGATTCAGAAAACAGCCACAGAGTGTTATTTGAATGGCTGGCAGGGCCCTAGTGGGGAGTGCAAAAAGAAGTGGCTCCTTTTGCTTATTCATTTAACTGGTCTTGGCCATTGCTGGCTTTCGGGTCAGCCTTTGGTCTCATCCTTCCCAGGCACGAAAGCCAAGTCTGCCAGTGGTTCCCATAGTAAGCAATTATAAATGAGGCCACCAAGTGGCTGCAGGCGCTAATCAGCTTCTGTCTACCTCGGAGAGCAGCAAATGTGAAAATTGCTGTTCCCTAAATGCCAGAGAAGAATGTCTCCCCAGTGCTTCAGTAGAAGGTTGGCTCCCCCCAAAAATAGTATTATCTCATCTGCTGCCAACCTGGTTGGCACAAGTGATGGGGCAGCCCATTGGCATCCAGACAGGCCAAGATGCCTGGGAGGCTGTGGCCAATGCAGAGAAAGTGACCAAAGAGACAAGGGAGGCTTGTTTTCTAACCTTCACCCCTTATTTCAGTGGACAGGACAGCTCAGCATCCCCATGAGGAGGCGTCAGCAGGCAGGCCATTGGCATGTTAGAAATAAAATGAAAGGGCCAGACCAGTGGGCTGCCAGTTTAGAACTGACCAGGCAGGAACATAATTTGCCATTGTGCTAAGTCCCGGCAGGCCGAGATCCCGAGGGTAGGCAGAGAGCTTTCCCTGTGGAAATCTAAGAAGTGACAACACCTTGGCTGCTCCTGCCTGCTTTGGGTGTTTGCCCAACGAACACTGAATCAAGTGGGCTCCTTTTGCGACTAAAAAATGTAGTGCTCGCTTGTGCCAAACATGCGACTAAGTGGGGGGCTGCTGCGCAAGTGCAGAAAGAGAGGAAATGGGAACCCATGTTTGGATGCTAGCCAGCTGTGGCTGCAGAGACAACGGAAAAACACCGGTGAATGCTAGCAGCAGGAGGAAGTGGGCTGTCCGGACTTCTCACTTCCCTTCCCACTGTTTCAAGAGGAATTTCCGCCGGGAAGAGCCAGAATGCAGGTTAGGAAGTGTGAAGGCAAAAGCAGACAGGAGAAACCCGTTGCTTACTCTGGGGGCAAGGAGGGATCCCCTCGACAGTGAGCCGAGAGGCAGATGACCAGTGGACCCTGCTTAGGTCTCCCCTTTTGGAGCAAGGGCATTGAACGGTTGCCTACCCCGGACCAAAGTCAGCATGAGTGGAGAAGAAACACATGGAACCCATTACAGAAGTATCAACCTGTGGCTTGGAAAAGTCAGCTAGTGCTTGGCCCTCACCATTCCTGTCTCCCCACCATTTTTGAATTTCTATTTTTCTGTTCAAAAATACAGAGTAATTCAATATCCCATAATTCCTCTGTAATGTTTACATGCATTCCGTATCTTGCTAACCAAATTCCACAAAGATTTTTTTTTCCTTGCAACAAAAGAGAAGGGAGCAAACCATCAAAGAAACCTCAAATCAAACAAACCACTCGACACGGGGAAATCATATTGAAAATCAACTTTTGAAACTTCAGCAGAACCTTTTGCATTTTGCTTGGATCGTCATTTAGAAGGGTCCTACCCACAAACTAACTCTGCACACCCAATACTATACAGTCACTCCCTGTGCATCCCATTTTGGGCTCTCAAGCTATCTTAAACATGTCTTGGAAGATCCTCAAAGTCTCCTTCTTCTCTTTGGAAAACAAAAACAAGTTCATTAATATGTCAGAATTCTGTATTCCGCTAGCGCTGACCAAGTGTCCCCCACCCACACAGCATGCAAAAGCACATTCCCCAAAGCATATGCATTAAATTATCATTTTTCAGCCACACAACTTCAGCATTTATTTTTGGCTTTCCTCCCATTCTTCTCAGTAGTCATGTTTTGGAGCCTTCCATCCCACCATGGCAGTTCCTCAGACTGTGTGCTGGGTTCAACAGATTTCACCAGCTTCCTATATCTCTATGTCTCTGTCACGTACAGCCTCCTCACCAGCCTTCCCTCATTTTGTTTAATGCAAATTTAATAAGATCTGCCATTGATTGTGAATTTTAAAAATTGAGCCCAAAGTGCCAGGTGTTCAAAATGTGTGATTCACTAGGCAAGCCCCCATCCTCGGTGACCCTAAGCAGTATGATTTAAATAACTTACTTCCAAGGTATGCCAAGCACTGCTTTTATCTCACGTGCTTAGAGCAAACCTGGAGGAAGTGAGATTTCCCATAGAAAGAGATGGATCCCTCAGCGAGGAGCCCCCAAGTTGGGAAGGAGTGCTGCAAGGTGCCTTTTCCAGTTTCTGCCTTTGCCTGTGTCCCATCCTCCATCCCAGAGACTGTGGTGCACTGTCTTACAGAGTCATCACTGTTACACCTGCTCAGATTAGCAGTGGTGAAAGACACACAGAACATTAAGCCATGGTTGAACAATGAATCAACCCCACTATCATGCTCCGTGGACCGAATCACTCAGATGACCGCCAGATCATCACTTGACTGCACTGTCAAGACGCAGTGACAACAGCAAAGACAATCAAGTCAGGAAGGCTAAGGATGAGGGTGGCTTCTCTTTCACAAGGAAAGCAAGGAAGGGAGGGCTGCACTGAGACCTTCTAAAGGAAGACTTCTCCCTGCCAATGGCCAGTGGGTTCAGACCCACAGGGTGGGCACGCTGCATGGTTCTGGATGGATTTGAAGTAGTCACTGCCCCAAGCCACTGAGAATCCACAGCTCCCTGACCCCCATGCCTACAATCATGTATCCTGAATGCAATGTGATGGTCACCCCATACTCACCATCCTCAAAGCTGCAATTTTCCCCACACTCCGTAGCCTCCTCATCAATGGGATATGGCGTGGTGGTCTCTTCACTCTTCATGGTGGGTCCCAGCGTCTCTGCTGTGGGCTTGGAGTCTGGCAAAGGAAGGGAGGAGCATGTTACAACAGCAACTCACATTGCAACCTTGTGTGTGTGCGTGTGTGTGGTGGGATATATTTAAACCAAGTGTGAGCTTTTATAGAAGGAGAGCTGAGTTGCCCACAGATGCATAAAATGCCCAAGTCACCTGTGCATTGCCCAAGCACTGGGGGCACAGATAGAGCTGACTGTCAAGGGTCCTGCAATGCAGAAATAGCTACAACCAAGGCAGGCACACAGATCTCAGCTCTTGACTCCACAAGAGAGGCTCTGAGGTCATCGCACATGGCCATGTAGGACAAAATTGGAGTATCACTCAATACTCACCTGGGGTGGAGGGGTTGAGGAATAAGTCCAACCCTTGCTCTGACTATTCTGTTTAAGACAATCATGGTTAACACACACACACACACACACACACACACACACACACACACACACGTATGAGATGGCCACCAAAAATGGTTTGGGAAAAAAAATGTCACCTCAGGCTTCCATTATATGGAAAAAGGGTCTGTGTGCATGGCCCCTTGCATAACTGCTGGCTGCCTCGCTGTTCACTCCTGCTTCATGTGGAATGAAGTCTTCTCTGAGTCACGACTTGCCAAAACCAAAGCTAATGTTTCAAAACATCCTGGCCAGTGGGGTCCAGCTGTAACATTCTGAGACTTTCGGTGACCCCCATAGCGTGGAAGATCCGGCTCCAGACACTGTGCTCATATTTACACCAAACTAGATGTCCAGAAAAATAGACATAAAGGCCCTCAGGCCCCATTTGGTGATATGAATGTGGGGTTGAGCCTTTAGATTAGGGTGTGACCAATTCAAGTGCCTCATGGATCCAAGCAGCTACTCCAGGGAGGGGGAGTGGAGGCAGGGTAGGGTGTGTTAGGGCTGTGGCAGCAGGGACCTTGCATGCCTCATTCAAAAGAGGCCTGAAAGGGAGGTGGCCCATTATGGCCACGTCTTTCTTCCCTAATATTCCCCCACAAGAAGCCAAAACTGCCCGTATAACCAGGTTTACAAGTGTTGGCTACTTATTTAACATGCTATTACATAGCACTCAATAAAACCTGGCCTGGCCAATGCAGTTGCTGGCATTTCGTTTGACCTGGGCTCTAGGTGATTCATTCACCCATTCACTGGTCTGTCTATTGGCTTATGACAGCCATTCATTCATCAACCATTCAAGGAATGAATGGAGCCGTGAGTCAGACCTTGGGTGGAGTGAAAGGGGTTTTGGAAATTGGTGTTCAAGCCCTCATGTCATGAGGTGGTGTCTTCATCCCAGAGCTAGCTGCCAACAGGATGCCTCAAAGAAATGGTGGATTGTTCCTCCCATTTCTATACATGCACCTTTGCACTACTGTGTGTGATGAGGCACCCTTGTCAGGCACCCTTCAGGATACCAGCTAATAAAGCCAGGAGCCCGAGGAAACTGCTAAATACACTGAATAGCTTCTTCACGGTCGACTTCCTGCCTTGCTGCTGTTAAGTACCATGCACGTAACCTTTCATGCCTCCCTTTGCTGTGTCTGCCTCTTGTTCACCGTACATAGCAAATAACCTCGAAGCATCCTAATTCATAAACTCAAATTTGTCACTGTGTCATAGAATCTCAAACTCAATTGTAAAACAAACTATGGGCAGCAAGGAAGAAGTAATGAGTCAAAACACAAACAAACTCACCTACCAGGTAAAGCAAGCTGTCCAATTATTTCACTGTAGGAGTTCAACCCAGCCAATGATTGTTTTTTTGTGACTGTTTTTTTTTTTGGGGGGGGGGGGTTGGGATGGGAGTTGGAATGAAGAAGTGAACCAAAGATGAGTAGTACAAAGGAATGGAGATTTAAGAAACCAAAAAAAAAGCCACATGACGCAAGGAGAGCAGCTTCTGGAAATGCTAGGTAGCCAAACAGGCCGTCAGCTGGTGGGTGGGGGCAATGTTAAATCCAGGGGCACTGAATGCCAGCGAGGGAGGAAAGCGAAGAAGCAGTGGACGGCCTCTGTGCCCACTGTGTTTGTACTGGGAGCTCTGAAGTAACTGCCCATCAAAACGCAACACTCCCCAGAAATTGAAACCAGATGTCAGAAACTTCAAAGGCAGGGAGGCTGGGCTCAGGGTAACTCAACTCTGATCTTGCAGGGAATGGTCAGGCAGGACTTTGAAATGGGAAACCTGCTGCTGAGCATCATCACTGCAATTTGGGGCAGGTTAGGAGAGCTCTAAAAGAAGAGGTCGTTAGCAATGGTCCAGCCAGCCATAAAGCGAGGCCAGACCACGAGGGGTAGGCGCAGGAAGAGGGAGAGTGGGTTGGCCCCCAGCGAATTAGGTGACCTCAGGCAAGTGCCTTCTGCTGTCTGGGCTCACCGTTGTCTTGAGTCTGTCACACACACACATACACATATATTCCTGAAACCGTTCATCATGCTCATCAGTGGGGTGTGGAATCAATTAAATGAATCAAGAATGGCACTGCAAGGTAGGAGTGACATAACTTCAGAACGCAGTCCCCACAGCAAGGCTGAGCACTGCTTTGGGAACCCCGGGTTTCAGTCTCATTCATTTATCCTAACTGGCTACTGGGTGCCAGGCAACAGTTAAGGCCTCTCACAACCATTGTGTTTTCAGCATTCACAGTAATCCTGGAGCATGCAGATGGACTAATGTCATTCCCATTCTTCAGGTAAAGTAATTGAAGCACTGAGAAACCCCAAACGCTCATCCGAGGTGATGCTGCCAGTGACAGGGAGGGAGGCAGGACATGAACCTGGCAGCCTGCTTCCAGAATCCATGAACTTGCTAAGACACTACACTCATGTGCCTCTGTGTGTGTGTGTGTGTGTGTGTGTGTGTGTGTGTGTGTGTGTGTGTGTGTGTGTGTGTGTGTGTGTGTGTACGCACGCGCACGGTATGTGGTATGAAGCAAGCTGTGAAATGGATTTGCTTGAAAACTGTGGATCACGTCATTGATACTTGACCCTGGAAGCTCCTGGATCACCTCGATACCCACTCGTTGATTCTAGAAGCTGCCACAGGTGAAGCTGGCCTGCATAGCACGGGGACAGGTGCTACACCTTTGGCAGGTTGCAATGTCCTCGCCCCTATGTAATGGGGAGCAGGTGTCTTCTTACCAACATGTGTTCATTGGGGCTGCCTTTGACCCCCAGGTGAGAGAAGCTAACTTGGGCCCGGTCTCCTGCCTGCGCACCTCAGTGAGCCAGGGCACAGGCAATAATTTTCTCCCTTTGAGCCAAAAGGACTTTTCTGACATGCTATTATTAATCCTTCCTCAGCTTCCCTGCCTGGTTGCTGGTGCCAGGTACAGTACAGACAAGAAAATAGGGTTACCTGTGTTCCTGATGGAGAAGAGGCTGGTCTGCTTAGTGTGCCTGATGGCTCCTGCTGGCACTAGATCTGGGCCCTGAGTCCTGGGTGGCCCTGGAAACTCACTTGGGCAGCCAGGGAGTGAGCTCTGAGTGAGATCTAGCACCAAGCCTGGTGAGAAAGGCAGGCCAGTGCCTCTAGGAGCGGCAGGGTTTGACTCAGAAGGGTAGGGTCCTCTCTTGGAAACAAGGAGGCATCGGCATACTCTGTGGGCCTCTCCCGCCTTGGGAAGAGTGGAAAGCACTGCCCCAAGCTTATGTTACCTGGGTGGGACAGGAATAATCTAGGAGCCCTGATGCCATTAGCTCTCCCACCACAGGGTCCCTCCCAAGCCAATCAATGCCTTTTACAGATGTGGCCTCAAAATGAAAATGAAGTCTCTTAGCCACTGACATCTGGAGGCCAGATTCAGACATAAACCGATTACCTTATTATCATGAGGGTTTTTTTTTTCCTTCCCTAAATCAACAGGCACAGCCCTCTGGCCTGAGAGTCAGGGTCTAATTGAATTGCGGTGGGTGGTGTGCAGTTATGATTTGTTTTTGAGAGAGCTGGGTTAGAGAACTGAGGGATCTTGAAAAAAAAAAAAAAAAAAAAACACGGCTTCAGATGCTGCACTGAGTCCTGCGGCTTCAGCACCTGTGGTCTGAGGGCGTGGCTAAGACCAGGGGCCTGTGGCCATGTCCACCTGGTAGGGCTTCTCTGGGCATAGCCGGCCCCATCAACCACCCTCCCCAACAGAGACTCCTGGGATCCACGTGAGTGAACCCCCAGGAAAGAAAGCAGAACCTTACCTGTCCAATCACAGCCCAGCACCTCCAGCCGCATCCCAATCCCTGCTGGTGACCACCGCTCCGGGTACACCCGCACGTACTGTGCAGGAACAGGGTCAAACCTTCGGATGTCAGGGGTGTCGTAGTGCATGTTGCCTTCAAACAGCTGCAGAGAAACATTTGCTCAGGCCTTGTGGTGTGGATTCCCTGCCCTCTGTTTTCTTTTCCCCTTTTTACATCCAACCAAGTGGGCAGCATCCATGAGTATTTCATCCTCAGATCAAGGTTTTTACTCATTTGGAAGGTGGCTAGGGGCCCAGGGATATGAGGAACAGACAGAAGTGGCAATTGTTGAGTTGTATCTTTTATCCTGAGACCAAGTCTGAGGGTGTGTGTGTGTGGCTCCAAATATGTTTTAAGCTGACTTTAGCAAGGGAGAAGAGAAGGCAGTTTAGGCTGACTGCTCTGAAATCCTCTGTTTATTCACAAAGTGATACTTCGTTTCCTTCTGTTTGAAAGTCTGGATTTAGAATCCCAGTGAACGGAGAGTTTTTGCTTCAATGAGAGCTTGAAGGGAAGATGACCGCCCCCTTTTCTAGGCTAGTGACAATGCCCTTGGGTCACACATTCATGGTATTGGAGACGGTTCCCAAGCCTTTGCTTAGCAGAAGCAAAGTTCAAGAAAACACAACCCAAATTCCCACTACACAAAAATGATGATGGTGGTGGGGGCTGCCATGGTGGAAGCCAGGTGGGAAACTTTACAGAAAACACATCTGGCCACCTCTGTCTCTCACCTAGGGAAAGGGGCGTGTCAGTGGCTGTGATTGGTTAGACTCCAAGATGCTGTAGGGCCACCCCATCCTGCGGGATGCCCAAGGTCCTCAGTTCCAGAAAGTGTATGCTGTCTGGGGGAAGATTGTCTCTGAGCCTGGTCAAGGTCACTTCCGTTTCCAAGAAGAGCCAGAAGCAGCCCTCCCTGGGGAAGCTTGTGGTCCACATTCTACGTGATCCACTGAGGATTCCCTTTCCCGAGCCCTGGGCCTTTCCAAGCCTCTGCAGTTGATAGCTACAAGTAAACCAGCGTGGCACAACCTCCCCCCCCCCCGCCAGCCCTTACTCTGGTATCTAGGAGGGGCACATTTGGCTGGCAAAGGTGGCCAACCAAAGCCAGCAGTGCCACCTTCCTTGGGGGGGGGAGGTATAAAATAAAGGGAAACCTAGGAACAAGGAGCAGGGAGATAAACATTGCAAGGGACAGGAGTGTGACAATTCCCTGTCCCAGCCTGCCCCTGTGTGGAGGGCTGATCTTTATTGCTGTCATGATCAGGGTAGATGGCACTGGGTTGAACTTGGGACCTAGAGTAAGCTTCCCTTGCCTCAGTATAAGAAGAGTGAAGGATCTAAGCAAACACAACTATGGAAACATAACTGCATGGTGACGTTCAGTTTTAAGGAAACTTAATCTGGAAGAGGGTTTAAAGGTGCTGAACATCACAAACAGGTAGTGCTTGAGCGGAAGTTAGGACTTTGGGCTTGGGAGCCAGACTTGGGGTTTCTGTATCCTGGCTCTACTCTGGCTCCCTGTGTGACCCTGAGTAGAATGTCATGTCTCAGTCTGATCATCTTTAAAGTAGGGATGACAAGTGAATCCTACCTTGGAGAAAGGCTGAAGGATCATCAGAGCATCTATGTGTTTAGTGCAGTGTCTGGTACATAATCATCTGTTAATTTTTATGGATTGCAGGGATGTGATTGTTGTTGTTGAGATAGGAAGTCCATATCTCCAATTCCAGACACGCTCGTTAGCCTCTCTGTCTGTGGGATGGCTGGAACATCCTCTTAGAACAGCTTACCTTTGGCTGCTGTGTCCTGGGGTCCTGGATGTATTCCCAGTCCTTGCCGTTGAGGCTATAGGAGACTTTGAACTTGCGCACAAATGCCCTGGCTTCCACTGCAGTGATGCTGTCTCCTCCACGGGCTCCCTGGATGATGACACCCTTCACCGTCTTGGGTGCCCCCAGGTCCACCTGAAGCCATTCCTCCCCTGGCTGAGCCTGAGGGATCCGAGGGAACCAGCCTGAGCGGCTGCTCACCAGACGGACTGCGCTGGGGCTCCACAGGTACTCGCGGGTGGAGGAGGCAGAGATCTGGGCATCTGAGATGAGGCCAGACAGCATCCCCAGCATGTTGGAGCAGGGGGCATCTGCAGAGGGTGGAGGGCAAGGGCAGAGGTCATGGGTCACATACTATAAAACAAAGATGACCATCCACAAGGTACTAGGATGCTGCAAATGAACCCAGCTAGCAAACACTGGGTCTGAGAATCATCGTGTTTAAAAACTTGGCCTTGGAGTCAGCCACCCAGGTTCGTATTCACTTGCCCCTTACCAGCTGGATGATTCTAGGAAGTTTTTTTTTTTTAATTGCTCTGTGCCTCAGTTTCCCCAGCTCTAAGGGGAAGCCTCTTGAGGACTATTGTGAGCATTCCATTAGTTTTTCTAATGGAAGAAGCTCAAAGGACAGTGCTTGGTGCATTGAACAGCTCTGGGCTGCTGTGGCTCTATCCAAGGACTCGTAGAATGTGCTAGGCACATCCTTGCCAATGCCTTTTGGGGATGGTGGGGTGGGGGAGGATTTTGGCTCAGCAGTGAATTATTCCCTGGGTGATCATTTTGCCAACTAGATGAGAACTGTCATGGGGTCGGCATTGGGTCTTTACTCCCACATGGTTAGCACAACTCTTCACTGCCAGGATCCTGCTCACATGCTGTTCCCATCACCCCCAATACTCTTCTCTTCCAAAGTCTGTACAGAAACTTCTACTCATCCTCAAGGTTTCTGCGTGGGGACAGAAAGACTGTCCCCAAACACACCATGCAGTCAGGAGGTCCCTCCATTCCTTCTTTCTCACAGCACCCTTATTTTATACATTCACATAATCACCGTATAGCCTGCAATTATCCAGTACCTGCACTTGTTTATTATCTATCTGGCTTCTTCGCCAGAAAGTTCCATGATGTCAAAGAACTCTATTTTGTTCACTTTTGATCTCCAGCTCCCAGTGTGGGACCTCACACACAGTATTTGTGGAACAAATAAGTGGCTGGAAAATGAACGAATGAATAAATGTTGGACAAGGCAGGCTCTAGAATAAGTGTGCATTAAATACTTGCAAACTGGTTCACAGATTTAAAAAACCCTTCAGGTTGTCCCCATGCTTCAAGTTCACTGCTTCTCTCTCTTCAATATTCTAGAAAACAAGTCTGAACTAATTTCTTGCTGATCCTGGGACAGTCCTGCTGTTATGGACAGTAATGTGGAGAGGACGGGAAGCAGCCCCCTAGAAGGGGTTAGAACGAGCCACACATATAGGAGAGAAGCAGGGTTCAGTGCTTCTTCACCTTGTCCTTGTGGCACTTTGGGCAGGTTTCTCAGCCTCTGTGTATTTTGGTTTCCCTATCAGTCCCTGCCCACTCACCTAATAGCACTGTTGCAAAACAGGCAAGATGGTATACAAAAAATTGATAACAAAGATGGAGAGACTGCATGAATGCAAGCTTATTAAAGCAGGAGCCTCAAATGAGGTCACACCCTGAAGTATGATCTGCCATAGCTGGAGTTACAGGTGGATGGATCTACACTGCAGACCCACTTGCCTGCTGGAAGACAAGTCTATGAGACGAAGATTAGATCATTCATAAATCCGTTATCTCTTGTCTGCACCCATGCTCCTATTGTAGTTCTCTTTAGTCCATGCCCCTCGGCCCCTCTTTCCATCATGTCTTTGTGTAAGCTGTGACTACTGCTAGGTGCATTTTCCCTCCTCTCTTCACTATCTGCCTATCTGTGCTTTAACTTCAGCTCAGTTATCACCTCCTCAAGGAGATCCTTCTGGATCAGGTCAAATCCCCTACAAGGCATCTCCAGTGATCAGGAGCCAATGTCTTCATATAGGTGTCTTGATTTTGAGTTTATATTTGAGTTGGTTTTTCCATTCACATGTCTTGTCCATAGGCCCCACCATGATTTCCACAGGGACAGATGCATTTTCTGCTCCAGGTTAGGAAGCAGAATGTTAGAGGAGAAGGGAGAATGGACTCAAACTCTCTGGCTCTTTCTCTTCCTGGAGTATAAACTAGCTTTCTACATGTCAACTTCCTTATCTATAAGATGAGGTGGATAATAATGACAATTTCATAGAGTTTTCATGAGGATAATAAAAGTAAAACACATTAGGTGACAATGCACCTTGATACTATGCCAGCATTCAGTAAAGGCTGGCTAATTTGGGGCTGCCTGTAGCACAGCAGCCTAAGTTCCTACTCACAATATTTGTATCCCATATCAGAGTGTAGGTCTGCATCCCAGCTACTCTGCTTTTCATCCATATTCTTAATGTGCCTGAGAAGTCCCAAATGCTTGGGTTCCTATCATCAACATGAAAGACCAGAATGGAGCTCTTGGCTCCTCACTTTGGCCTGGCTCTGGTCTGGCTCAGACCTGGCTCTTGCAGCCATTTAGGGAGTGAACCAGGAGATGTGAGGACCTTGCTCTCTGTCATTCTGCCTTTCAAACAAATAAATAAATGTTTAAATACATGTAAGTGTTAGCTAGCAAAATACAAGACACTCAGTAAGGATATATCAAATGAATGAATAAAAAGACGAATACTGGTAGGACTGGAGTTCTTGAATCCATCCTTCTGCCAGGATTACAGGAGAGAGAAAAGCCCAGGACATGGCCAGCTCCCCACCCCTTGGGTCCCTCCTCACCTGTGACCCGGCAGCCAAAGAGTTCCAGCCGGAGGGCAATGCCCGAGTGCCAGGTCTGTGGGCGGATCCTGATGAACCTGGTCAGCAGCGGGCTATGGAGCTTGTTCAGAACCACCTCCGTGGCATCACTGTTGGCCTGAAACACCTGCACCATGAGACACAAGAGTAGGTTACCAAATCCTGCTGGCAGGACTGCCAGGTGAGCACCGTTGGAAAGTTCTGATGAATGTTATACCTCTCAAGTTTAAAAATAATCAGGGGGTTGTTATTCTGGGTACTCAGTGAAAAAATTCAATTTCTCACATTGCTTCAACTTGAAAACAATAAATGGTCTTCGCAGAAACTCTTGAAGGGAAGGAAAATTTTGCCTCTAGGCAGAGAGTGAGTCTAGGAAGGTGCCTTGAAAAGCACAACACTTCAGGAGAGAGAGAGAATGTCCCTTAAAAGTGAAGTGGAAAAGCCAGCTTTTTCAGCTAGCAGCCCTCACTCACTGGCGTGAACTTGACACTCCCTCGTATTGCAGGCTACAGGAATATTTGCAGAGCATTCCAATCATTTGCACACATTACTGAAATGCCTGTCTATCTGTGAGTATATGAGGGGTACCAGCTACGTGCTGGTGCCCCAGTGTCAATCAACTCTGGCCACGTTCTCTCTGGTCTTTGTTGCTGGCAGCTCCCTCTGAGTCCTGCTCTGACTTCCTCTCACTGTGGTCCCCACCCTGTAATGAAATCCATCCCTGTCCCCATCTGACCAGCTCAGCTCTTCTGGGAGGAAAGGCTTTTCGCAGAGAGTCTGATCCACCGTGGTGGAAGCCAGGCCTGGCGGCCCAGATGGCCTGCGTCAATAGCCACCATATGGACCTGATGCCTTCTGTACCCTCCATTAAGGATGGAAAAAAAGAAGAAACTGCAGCAAGGATATGCAATTTTCTCTTGGTTTCCTTGGATAAGGTCAGAAGGGAAAAACTAACACACTGTCACTTCTAAACCATGCCTGCCCCAGCCATGACAACCGAGAGGCTAGACACTCAGCCGAGTCTACCACCATCAAGGATGTCCCCGGCATAGGGGATCTGGATGCTTTGGCTCATTATAACCAAGACATGCTAGGTATTGGGGCACTGGCAAGGTGGGAGCAGGAGTAACAGGGCACTAGGTTTATCTAAATACTTTTTAGTATAGCACTGTATAAACACAATTATGTCTATAATATCCCAGCAGGCAGGAATTATTATCTCTGCTTTACTGATGAGGAACTTGAAGCTGTAGAAATGTCTGAGTGGAGCCAAAGCCCTTGCCAAGATTTTATGCTTTAAGCTTATGTTTTCCTAGATTGACCTTGGTCTCTCTGAACACATTTACAACTTTTATGTTGGTGGCTGGGTGTCGTGGAGCCTGTAAGGTCTCCAACTGAGTGTTGAAGGAGGTGGCCTTGCTGCAATTATAATGCCACTCAAGGATGACTCTGGACAATAGTAGAAGAGTCTAGAGTCAATGGATAATACAGCTCTTCTCCATGAACTGCCAAACTCTACTCTCTGGCAGCCTTGAAGTTTCTATATTTCCCACTTACTACGGTCAAAATTTAGGGAACATCATTTAACGACACACTCAGGAGGTTAAGGGTAGATAGTGGGAGCCATCATAGCTTTCACAACCAAGTGAAGAAAACAGGTAATCATCAGCCTGTTATACTCTGTTAAAACTCCCATTTAGCCACTCCTTTCCTGCAGGTGTAATTTTGTCACTTCCTGTACAGAATGAAGATGAGGAGGAGCAAAAAGAGAAAGGGAGTGCAAGGGAGGAAGAAGGGCAAGGAAAGAGGATGAGAGCTGGCTGCCTGGCACCAGCCTGTAGGAAGCAGTAGGGGAGAGATAAGGGTTGCGTGAACTAAAGAGCAGGATTTTAGGAGAAGCTCTTGCTTCCTAGATGCTGAAAAAGGGCCCTGGACCTTGAGAGAGGAACAGGGACAGAGGCAGCGAACTCAAGGAAAAGATGAATCCGTTCTCTCAGCACTACACACAAGCCCGGGCTTTGTTTGTGCTTTGTTTTGGCAAGGAGCAAGCCAATGCAGCACTCTGCTGATTTCGGACGGGTGCTGTGAGCAACAGGGGCCACCTCTGGATGGCTCCCTGAGGATAGCAATGGTGACTGTGTGTGTGGCCTCCAGCAGGAAAGGCTACGGAGTTCAGATGGGGGAAAACAGCTTTCTTTGCCATGTGAATACATAATTGGAGAGCTGAGTGCCTGTGAACTTTAACACAGCTGCTAATCCACAGCACACGCACCACGCTGCTCCCATTTAGGAACACAGCACGTCTTATGTGCTTTTAATATCCAATTTTATCTTATCTGACCCCTTCATTTCTCAGCTTTGGCAGACAACAGAGATGCCTCTTCTTCCCTTCCTCGATCAGGAGGCAATTGCGTGTTTAGACTGTGTGGCTGCTTGTGTGTGTGCAGCACACATGGCCAGGGAGGGACTGGTGTGCCCAGGAATGCATGGCCACAGACGTTGGGTATAGATCCTTAACCCAGCTCACAGAGTCAGCGTTCACCAAGGGGAGCAAGTGCACCGCTTAGTTACCATAGACTTTCTTCTTGGCCGCTCAAGATTAAGTTGCATTGGCCCTTCCACTTGACTCACTCCCCCAACCCAGAATTACACTAAGGCTCTTTTCTGCTTGGCTTCCAGCTATCCTTCATATTTCAGGCTAGTTTCTTCCAGGTTCCTTGTGTGCTGTAGAGTATGTGTTCCTATCTGCTTTGGTTTCTGGACTCTGCTGCAGAAACACCATCATACTTCATTCAACTGGGCACACTCCTCTTATGCTGAGTGAGGCAGAGTGGAAAAACCATTATCACTGAACCAGGAGCCAGGATCTGGGCTCTGCTACTAATTAGCTTGGAAGAGTGGACAAATATCTCCACCTCCCTTGGGCCCTGACTTCCCCCTCTGTTAAATGAGGGGATTATACAAGTTGGTTTGTACAGCCCTCTCTGGTCCCCTAGACACTGAGCCTTCCTGGAATTGCTCCAAGTGTGTCCACTCCTATAGCAGGACATTTTTGTAACCTGCTGTCCCTTTGGAAGCTAAGTGCTTCTGTGGATAAGTGCAGTGGGTTTTTATACACATCAACTAGCACTCAGAACATGTGGCAAGTGCCCCATTCACAGGGAGAATGTACCTTGATGTGTTCCTTCCATAACAGTTCAAATTATTAATAACCAGGAGTAATGAATAACAACGCCTTAGTCCTTACGTATTGTTTTTCACCCAACAATATCAAAGTGCAATTTATGAAAATCCATTTTTAATGAAATATTAAGCAGTTTCTATTTCTCCTGACCCAATGGATTTACAAGGTCTCTATTTTTTTCTCTAAGCATCCCCCCTATTTATAGCTGGTAAATGCTATCATATATTATGCATCTTTATGACTTTCTCAATGCTTCTGTGGCTTCAGAATCACCCTTCATATGTTTTCTGATCAAATTCCCTGAGATAGATTCTTGGCTTCCAGTCTGTGCATTGAAAGGTAAAGGGTTGTATGCATGGGAAATGATGCCAGGAAATTGGTTTTATTTCCTATTCCCTGCCGACTCGCTGAATCACTACAGGCAAATCAATAAACCTTAGATACCCTGGCTTCTCCTGCAGGACAAGCAAGTCAATAATAGGCATGTGGATGGGCACTGCTTTAACCCACCCTTCCTACTGGCTCCCAAGACAGATGTTAGAGTAGAAATGAAGTCACAAGAAATAAATGGGTATTTGTACAGTTGCATAAGTTCAAGCTCTACAAACTGTTGACCCCCAAGATCCATGCTGAAGCTGAAAATATTCATGCCTTAACTGTCGTAAGATGCCCATATTTGGGGAAAAATCAATGGATGAACAGTGTATGCTGTGTCAAAACCGGCAGACTTCAAATACAATGATAGAATTTTAGCATCTGCTGTAAAAATTAGACATCGTTTTATTAATTTTGAAAGCAGACTCTTGAGGCTGGCCCAGTGGTTTATCAGACATTCTCCTCCTGTGTCATTTGTATGCCATATGAACTTCAGTTCTAGTCTCAGTTGTTCCACTTCTGATCCAACTTCCTGCTAATGGTCTGGCCCAATTTCTTGAGCCCTTGTACCCATGTGGGAAACCTGGAAGAAGCTCCTGGCTCCTAGCTTCAGATGAGCTCTGCTCTGGCTGTTGTAGCCATTTCCCCCTCTCTCTGTAGCTATAACTTTCAAATAAAATAAATAAATCCTTAAAAAAAACTCTTAATAAATCTGCATTACAGCCCAAAGGAAATTCAGGAGTACATCCAAGGTGACCCTAGTTTTCTGGGGATAACGTTGACTTGCTGAGATTATTAAACACATGTGTGTCAGTATGTGTGTTGGGGGGAAAAAGTTAGGTTGTACATAAAAATTTCTGGTTCATCTCTAAATATGAAGTTTAAGAAACAATTTGGGACACAAAGTGGTTTGGATAATTCATTGGTGTCTTGCTGAATTCTGAACTGAATCCAACACTTGTCAATTGATTTTTGAGATCTTTGGTTGGTCTTCAGTATAGCAGATTCTGAAAAGCTGCAACATATCATGGATTTTCTGATTTGCACCTCTGGAGGAGAGGGTACATCTGCCAATTAAATAGGCTGCTTTCCAACATCCCAGTTTGGTGACTATTTACCAATCTCTCTATATACCCCCCTGACCAGGAAAAGAAAAGCAGCATGTTTTGACCATGCCCTAGTCTACAAGGCATGAACACTTTAATACATATCACATTGTGAAAGAAATTTTCCATTTCTCCACCCATCTACCCATCCATCATCTAGCTAGAAGGCATCAGTGATAGTTTTTGCAGTCATCTTTGCTGTTTTCCATTCAGTTTCTACTCACCTCTCTTCTCTAGTCTTTGAGGACCTGTAGTGACTCTAGTACTGTTGAGACCACTGGGTACAGCAGGTGCCTACCTTCTAGGTTTTTAGATGGGGAAATGTTCTGCTATTCAAAATCCTTTTCCTATATACCACTCATGCTTACTATCAACATCTAGGTGACCAGGATGGTGTCACACTATATGTTATGATGTCTGTCTCAGGAGCACAATGAAAAAGCCTATGGAAGTCTTGGATCT